CCCCCCGCTCTTTTAAAAACAGACTTGCCAAAATAAGTTTACCACATGTCTCGCAATGTTCAACAGATTGTTCACCGGACTCTGGCGGCCATGATAGCATCCACCATGTCGGTGGCCATCCTCGCCGCCCTCAACGAGGCAAGCGACAGTCCACTTTTCGCGATATACACTTTAAATAGTTTCTGTCAACTAATATTTTGTCCACCGTTGCCACTCCGTTGAACAGCGCCCCAGCATGGCGGAGCTGGTGAGCTGGATTGACGTGGAGACCCTTCTGCTGCTGTTCTCAATGATGGTCCTGGTCGCGATATTCTCCGAGACGGGCATCTTCGACTACCTCGCCGTGTATGCCTACAAGGTGAGGACCCGCGCCGCTGTGGCTGTGTGACTTTCTGAAGCAAAACTTAAACATTCGCATGTTAAATTTTCGCCGTCTTTGCAGATCACTGGTGGCAAGATTTGGCCGCTCATCAACACCCTGTGCTTCTTCACGGTGATGCTCTCCATGGTGCTGGATAACGTCACAACCGTGCTGCTGATGACCCCCGTGTCTATCAGGTTTGTTTGCGCCTCCAAACGCTTGCTCTGGGCTGCCCATCGAGATGTCTCTCTTTTGTTAAACCCGTCCCTCCCGCCCTCTAGGCTGTGCGAGGTCATGGAGCTGAATCCCGTCCCCGTGCTCATGTCCATGATCATCTACTCCAACATCGGCGGCGCCATCACCCCCGTGGGCGACCCCCCGAACGTGATCCTGGCCTGCGACCCCGATGTCGTTCGAGCGGTAAGCAGTCCAAGTAGTTGATGCCTGTGTTTCATGATTTGTTCGAAAGTGTTAATTTTATTGGACTTTCTTCTCTTGCAGGGCGTAGACTTTGGCACCTTCACGCTTCACATGGGCATCGGCACGCTGATCGTGTTCGTGGTGGTCAACATCCAGCTGCGGCTCACCTTCCGCAGCATCAACGACTTCCGCTTCGCCGAGCCGCAGGAGGTGCAGGAGCTGCGCCACGAGATCGCCATCTGGCAGCGGGCCGCCGCCTCGCTGTCGTCCTACTCGCGCGACGAGGACTCGGTGCGCGAGACGCTGCTCAAGAAGGCCCGCCGGCTGGTGCAGGAGCTGCAGCGCAAGGTGACGTCGGGCAGGTGAGCGCTCGCGGTGGTGGGACTCTCCGCTCCGTCCCGTCCGTCCCCCTCGTAGCGCCTGCAGCGTAGGCCACTTTCGAGTGTGCAGCGCATGCCTGTGCTCCAGCTGCCTACCCCGCAGGCGCTCCGCCGCGCCCCGGACAGAGCGGAGCGGAGAACCTCCCCTGCAGTTTAAACCAATAAGTTCTCCGCATGGAAAACAAATAGCTCTTTATTTTTAAGAGAAAATTGAAGTCAACTGACATTACCTTTATTTATTTCTCGTGTTCCAGCGTTGCTGCAGAGGACTACAAAGCGACGCTCGAAGATCTGCAGTTGAGGGTAAGTCCCACGTCTTCGTTCTTTTTGTCATTTTCATTGTTATTCCTTTTCCGCCCATTGAAATTTTCATTTCTTTTCTATTTTAAAAATTGTTATTTAATTTATTTTTCGTTTTTACCAAATTATTGCGTTCGTGTTTTCAGTACCCCATCCGCAACAAGGTGCTGCTGGTCAAGTCCGGCATGACGATCCTGTTCGTCGTGGCGCTCTTCTTCCTGCACTCGATCCCGCAGCTCAACCTGTCGCTCGGCTGGACGGCGCTGCTCGGCGCCATCCTGCTGCTCGTGCTCGCCGACCAGGACATGGAAGGCGTGCTCGCGCGCGTCGAGTGGAGCACGCTGCTCTTCTTCGCCGCCCTCTTCGTGCTCATGGAGGTAGGCGTCGTCGTACTCTGACGGGGTGGGTTACTTTCACCACGGCTTTAAATGGAGCATGATGTTTGTATCCCCACATGGGGGTACAAATATTATGGGGGCCCAAAAGGATCAAGACAGTTATTGGAGTTCATTGGGGCCCCTTGACATTTGTACCCCGGGGTAGAAATACCATGGGATCCCCATGGACTATACTGACAGCCCTCTTCTTTTTGGGACACCCCCTGAAGCCTACGTGGTGTTTGAACACTACTCAACCTGTATGTGTCCCGTGGTTCGTGTCTTTGACGCCGTCCTCGCTGTCCTCAGGCGCTGTCGCGCCTCGGGCTCATCAAGTGGATCGGGACGCAGACGGAGACCCTGGTGCTGGCCGTGCCCAGCGAGTACCGCCTGGCGGTCGCCATCCTGCTCATCCTGTGGGTGTCCGCCATCGCGTCGTCCTTCGTCGACAACATCCCCCTGACGACCATGATGGTGCGCATCATCTGCTCGCTGTCTCAGAACGAGAAGCTGCTGCTGCCGCTGCAGCCGCTCGTCTGGGCGCTCGCGTTCGGCGCCTGCCTCGGCGGCAACGGCACGCTCATCGGGTCGTCGTCCAACGTGGTGTGCGCCGGCGTGGCCGAGCAGCACGGCTACCGCTTCACGTTCGTCCAGTTCTTCAAGTGAGTATCCTCGGGGGTAGGGGATTTTACAGTTCGATTTTTTTTTTCGAAAAAATTTGAAAATCCGAAAAATTAAAATCTTTATAACGGGTCTCTAGTTTGCCTAATTCACATA